GACTAACAGCGAAGAAGGCCAATAATCCCTAATTCCTAATAGTAGACTTATTCACTCGTCACTCCCTCATCCACCTCCCACCATGCTCCTTGGAGCAGGGCTGCATATGCCAACCCACATTCTTAGAAGAGAACTCAACTCTGTACCCTGATCTCCCAATCCCCAACCCCTCTTCTGAGTCCTGTGGAGCTCCAAATGGTAGAACTTAACGGAGGCCGTGATAGCACCATGGCAGCATTCTGTGCAACTGAGTCAGAGAAATGAGGGAACAGAGAAAACTGAGAGGGACATGTTTGTGGGGAGCTATGTGGCACTCAACTCAGCTTGAGAAAGAGAAAGCCCATCATCGAGCTGCGATCAGTTCTATTTCCCCAGAAGTCACTGAGGCAGAGACCAAGCAAGGGCAGAGGCTGAGATGCTTTGATATCTGGCCTTCAGGGAAATCACCATCAAAGAGGAGGAAGTCAGAAAGGGAGCAGAAGGGAAAATAAGGAAGAAAACTGAAATTATCAAAGATCTGAGGAGGACAAAAACTCAAAGACCTTGAAATAAGCAGACAAGCCAAAGAGAAGCTATTAATAGCAAAAGGAAATTTGGCCTCCAGATTTAATAAAAGAGTCCAGCCACAGATGAATAAATACTGCAAGACAAAGGAAAATGAATCAATAACTAATGAGGCAGAGGATCCTGCAGATTCTCAAGAAAGCATGAAACAACAGCAGGATGTTCCTGAATGATTTAAAAGAGAAATAAGAATTACAAAATCGGAATTTATGACTTGCATAACAGAAATCATTGGCATAATAGAAATACTTGAGTCCGCAGTGGCAAGTCTCACCAAAGAAAAGAGAGGATAACTAATTGGGTATGTAAACATACAGAAATGAAGGACAATCTGGAAGAAGAGAAGCAAATAGCAATAACATTAAAAGGAAGCATGATCTCCTTACAAGCAAATTACAATGTTGTAGAACATAGGATGCACGTAGACAACTTCATGATTGTAGATCTCCCAAAAGAACATGATAAGTCAAAAAAATTGAACACATAATGCCAGAAATAACACAAGAAAACTGCCCAGAACTTTGTAACACATAAAACAACGTCAATAGAAAGAATCCACAGATTGTCTCCAAGAAGACAAAACATACGAAAACCTATGCTGCAAACTTCAAGACACCTAGTGGTTAAATCTAATAATACCCCTGACAAATAACAAATTTACAAGTAGCCAGAAGACTTTCATATGTAAAGGAAAGGTATTTGAGTAACACAAGACTATTCTGCACACACCAGAAACCACAGGAGGGAATGGAGTAACGTTTAAGGAAACACAATTGTGTTCGTGATACAGCCCAACTTGATATACCTAGCAAATCCAGGCCTAAAAATAATTGAAAAAAGATGGATGTTCAACTTTTAAAAGGCATTTGAAACATTCCTAGAAAGAAAAACAGGAGAAATTATTTGCTCCTCAAACACCCCAAACAACAGAAATACAAAGAAATACAGCAACCAAGGGCAACAACAATAAAATAAAAGAGATACCATTAAGAGATTTCATTCTAAATATATACAAAGAGACAAGGGTGAAAGCAGAAATCAAATAGAAGTAATGGAGAAACAGGCCTGGAACACCATGGACTAAACCTCACAGCACCCTACCTATAGGTGAATCAATGTTTTTTGTATCCATTACCTGCTCACAATCCTTGCTCACCCCAAGGAAACAGACAAATGCTTTGAAAGCTACAGGCGGTATTTGTTATATAACAAATATTTAGTAATATTTCTTATACCAAGGAAAATAAAGCTGTAGGTAATAGGGATTTGTAGCTTAATAAAACATCCTCTTTTCCTTTTTATATGAAAATTTTAATTTTATTTGGGATTTGTAAAGTCCAGAATAAATTTTTTAAGAGATACAGACCCAAATAATTGTGCTTGCAGTGAGGATTGAGAGCAAGCAATGGATAGAGGAGATAGAGGCAAGATCAGCAGGACTCAGCAATTCATCAGATGTGCAGGGTGAGGAGTCAAGAATTTTTCAAAAGTTCTAAGTCCTGATAGTAGTGAGCACAGTGTGCCATCAATAGAAACAGAGGAATTAGAGGGAAGGGCAGGTTTAGTGGGGGAAGAAGCTGTCTATCCAACTGGAGATAACTCAGAAGCAGCTAGAAAAAGGGGAGTAGAACTAGCAGAGAGATTGGAGAGTAGAGATACAGGTCTGGGAATTACTTGCTTTGAGGGGATAATCAAAGCCCATATAGTTTACATGTGTCTTCTATAAAAGCCATACTTTGATGCCTTGTTGTGGCATGCCAGTAATCCTGGATTTTTTTGTTTGTTTGTTTGTTTTAAATTTTTTTTAATTTTTTCCTTATGCTTTTGAGTTGAAAATTTTTCTCCCTTTTCCTCCCCCCCACCCTCCCCAAGACGGCGCACAATCTGATATAGGCTTTACATTTACATACCCATTAAACATATTTTCACATTAGTGAAGTTGTAAGTAAAAATTAAAACTAATACGAGGAACCATCGGAAAGATGAACCAAAACTCAACAGAAGGTAAAAATAAGTGATAGCGATTCAACTTTTATAGTTCTTTCTTTGAATGTGAACAGCATTGTCCATCCCGAGGCCTCTGGAAATGTCTTAGATCCTCATAATGCTGAGAAACGTTCAGTTTAACAATCTTAGTCATTGCATAACATGGCTGTTATTGTGTACAAAGTCCTCTTGGTTCTGCTCACTTCACTCAGCATCAGACCATATAAGTCTTTCCAGGTTTTTCTGAAGTCAGCCTGTTCATCATTTCTTACAGCACAATAGTATTCCATTACATTCATATACCACAACTTGCTCAGCCATTCCCCCAATGGATGGGCATCCTCTCAATTTTCAATTCTTTGCCACCACAAAAAGAGCTGCTATGAATATTTTTGTGCATGTGGGTCCTTTTCCCATTTGTATAATCTCTTTGGGATATAGCCCTAGAAGTGCTATTGCTGGATCAAAGGGTATGTACATTTTTGTAGCCCTTTGGGCATAGCTCCAAATTGTTCTTCCAAATGGTTGGATCATTTCACAACTCCACCAACAATGTATTAATGTTCCAATTTTCCCACATCCTCTCCAACATTTATCATTTTCCTGTTTCGTCATGTTGGCCAATCTGATAGGTGTGATGTGGTACCTCAGAGTTGTTCTGATTTGCATTTCTCTAATCAATAACAATTTAGAGCATTTTTCTATAGATGGCTTTAATTTCTTCATCCGAGAACTGTCTGTTCATATCCTTTGACCATTTATCAATTAGGGAATGGCTTGTGTTCTTATAATTTTGTCTTAATTCTCTATATATTTTAGAAATGAGGCCTTTATCAGAGAGACTGGTGGTAAAAATTCTTTCCCAATTTTCTACCTTCCTTCTAATCTTAGTTGCATTGGCTTTGTTTGAGTAATCCTGGATTTTCTAAAGCTTTGCCCAAAGTGCCAGTTGGAGCTGTGGAATATTACATTAAGCTGAAAAGTCTTTGAGTAAAAAGTACGGCATATTTTGAGTCTGTGGGCATCAAACCACGCTAGGTAAGTAGGGAGAGGCTTACTGCCAGGTTGGCCAGTAGGAAAATTTTTTTTTGGCCTTGGAGATCAATGAATGGCATCAAAATACAAAAATATTCTCTAGTCTTCAACTGCGTCTGCAATGACAGTAACAAAGTTGCAGAACAGAACGCAGAGAACCACCATTAAAAAAAACAACAACAGCTACTTACAAGGGCTAGTTTCATTGTTAATGCTCGAAATGTGAATTGTCCAAAGACCAACAAACAGGTTGATACGCTATTGAATATCAGGAGACAAATTTATATTGAAAGCACAGACCAATGATTTGCCGATGATTTGTACCAAGAGCTGGTACATGTATGATAGGGAAAGGAAGTGGTTTGGCCATGTAGAGAAAACAAAGAATAACACATGGGCAACCCCTCATCCTCCACAAGATGTGAAAAGACGAAGAAGAAGGTCTCTAACCCTTTGGTACAGAGTTTCTATGGAGAATTTACATAAAGGATTGGACAAGAAAGTTAAGTCAGGTTTTGATCCATACTGGAGAGATGAGCTCACAAATACATCTCATGTGAGAGGGCCTGGTGCTGGAGGCAGCATAACAGGACTACATAAGTTCAAATACCAACTCTGCTTCTACCTCTACTACTGTTGACCTCTCTGGGCCTCAGTTTCCTTATCTGTAAAATATTAGAGATCGTTTCTGAGATCCCTTCTAGTTCTACATCTATCTGTGTAGGACCCAGATAATGCAGTGTCTACTGGTATCATGAGCACTTCTGTACGTACACAGCCCTTGGCCTACGGTGGCCAACTGTCTACTTGGAGCAGAGTTCGCTCCTGGTTTATTTTACTTCCCCAGGCAGGGACCACGTGCCAGCTCCTACTGGGTTACTATGGAAACGAAAGAACGCTGTCCCCACCGGAAATGGTTCCCCGAAAATTACAATCCTTCTAAAGGAGGTCATAGAGAACTAGAGCTCAAAGAAACCTCAGTCGTCCTCTAGTTCAGACCTCTTGTTTTTCAGATGAGGAAACTGAGGCCCAGAGAGGGGGACATTGTCTTGCCCAGCGTCACAGAGGTCGAGTCCGCAGCCTCCTCCCCGAGTGTTTTAGAACTGGGATTGTAGTCGGCTCCGAAAGCTACAGCCCTCAAGTCCTCTTCCGATGGTGATGCTGCCTCATTGCGCGGCGGTGACCGCGGGCTCCTGAAGGTTAGGTGGGCTTGACATGGAGTTCGGGTTGGGTGCCGCAGCAGCTCGACTGCGGGACGTGGTTATCCGAAGGTTCTGGGTTCAAATCCTTGCTAGCTGTGTGACCCTGGGTGCATCACCTAACCTCTCTCTGCCTCAGTTTCCTTGTCCCGTAAATCATGCTTTTCTGGCTCAGTTTTCTAATCGTAAAATGGGAAAGGTAGTAATAGCACCTACCAGTGACCTGGCAAGCTGGGCCTTGTCCAGGATCCACCTCGACTCCAAGTGTTTTCCCAGTCACCAGTGCCTGGCAAGCTCTGCCTGTCTTGCTTCCCGGGCTTCCTCGTCTCGGCTAAAGCCCCGTTAAACTGTGAGCTCCTTGAGAACAGACACTGTCGTCGTTTTAACTTTGTATTCTTTGGATTTAGTACAGTACAAATGCTAGTTGGCTGACTACCTCGCAGGGTTGGTGTAAAGATCAAATAAGAATGACGTATTAAAGCGCTTAGCAAACCTTAAAGCTCTCTACAAATGCTAACTCTTATCAAGCTGGCAAGCCTTCTGTAGGGTCCTGAGGACAGGACCCGTCTGCCTTCTAGCCTGGCTAGGGAGGCGTAGAGAGGCTAGAAAGATGGCCTGTAGGTGGTGAATTCTCCAGCCACGGCAACCGAGGAAACGAAAGAAGAAATAAAAGGAACCAAAAAGCCAGCGAGATGGCCTAGAGTAGCTCTCAGAGAGAAAAAAGCACGGTCTGTCTTCGCATTGCCTGAAGCAGAGTGGAACCAAGAGCCTTGCGGACCGCGTTCTCGGGAGGGCGCTTCTGCCAGACGGAGCGTTTAGCTTTCCCTCGCGCCCCCCCCCCGGTTGCCGTGGAAACGGAGGAGGGAGCGCCGATGCGGCGGTTTGTCGGAGCGGGGCCTTTGCTTCGTCTCCACGGAGTGGGCTCCATTCAGTCGCCAAGATGGTGAGTGTCCCGGCGGCGAGCTTCTGCGGCAGGCCGGGCGGAGGAGCCTGCCCCGGACCTGGGGTGGGCTGAGGGGGCGAGACACGTTTCCGGGACTCCCTCACTTCTGGCTGGTTGGCGGGGCTGTTTGGGGACCATCCCTCGCAGGAGGGGGAAGCAGTGTCAGAGCCCGACACGTACCCACAAATCATCCCTTCTTCTCGACTCGTTCTCCTCTCCTCTCCTTCCTCCTCGATCTCTTCAGTTCTCCTCCTCTTCCTTCCCTTACCCCTCTTCCTTCCTCCTTTAATCTCTCTTCCTTCCCTTCCTTCCTCCTCTCCTTATTTTCCTCCTCTCACCCCTTTTCTCCCTCTTTATCTCCTCTTATCCTTCTTTCTTCCTCCTTGATCTCCTCCTCCCTCTCTTCCTCCTTCTCTCCTTCCTCCCCTCCTTCTCTCCTCCCTGCCTTCATCCCCGCCTTCTCGCCCTCTTCTTCCCCTCCATCTCCTCCTCCCGCTTCTCCCTGCCTTGATCTCCGCCTTCTCACCCCCCTTTTCCTTCTCTCCTCTTCTCCTTCCTCCCACCTATATTCTCTCCTCCCTCCTTGTTGTTCTTCTCCCCTCCTCTTCTTTCTCTCCTCCTCTTCCTCCTCCTCCATCACCACGGATACCACCGGCCCTGTAATCACCTCTGCCCATAGGCAGATTTGCAAGGGAGCCCAGACACTTGAGATGAGGAGCCTAGAAAAAGGCGTGTGAGGGAAGCAGTGCTAAGGCAGCTGATCCCTTCCTCGAGGGTAAATTGGGAGTATGGGAAGAGACAGCTGAGGAGCTGTGCACGAGCAGAAAGGAGCGGAAAGCCAAGGCTTCTGCACCGGCTCTCCTTTCTACCATTTCGCGGTGGTTTTGCTTTTTCACTAGTGCATCGGAAAGAATGCAGGATCTGGAGCTGGAGGAAGTGGGTTTGACTCCATGACGATTCTTATTATCTGTGTGGCCTTAAGCAAATCATTTAACCTTGGTCTCATTTTTCTCACCTGTAAAATGGAGTTAGACTAGGCGTCTTCTAAATCTGATCCTTTGAAATGCTGTTACAGCAAGAATTTCCTTAACACAAATATTTCTAGGTCGGAGAGACTATTTCTCCACTTTTTTTTTTTAATATTTGTCATTTCCCCGAGGAAGGAATTTCAACAGTCCCTTGGAATTCTTTTGTAACAGGATCTATTGATGCTAGAATTGTTTATTTCTGTTTGGATAAAGCCCAGTTCAAACCACCGTGCTGTTTTCCTCATCCTTTTCAGATGCTTTCAAGAGCCAAGCCTGCTGTAGGTGGAGACCTACAGCAAATTGACAAGCGGAAGAAGAAAGGAAGAAAGATTCCCAAACTAGAAGAGCTGCTATCCCAAAGAGATTTCACTGGAGCCATTACCCTACTGGAGGTAACCTCTTATCTCTTGACATCTTTTGGGGCCTCAGTTTCTCGGGTGTAAAATGAGGGGGTTGAACTAGGTGGTGTCAGAGGTCTCTTCCAGCTCTAACTTTCTGATTCTAATACCAGCATATGAATGTCCATTTTTTTTTACACAGGTCTAAAATCCTGAATTGACCCTGTGGCTAACTATCAATTAACAAGCATTTATTAAGCTCCTAACCTAAGGCTAGTATATACCTTTTGAAGAGTGAATACCTTTTTATACCTACATTCTGTCTGATCTACCCCATGGTTGATGGAAAACCTAACTGGTCTCTATGCTGTGGTGGTAAAATGTCATTTAATTAATAATCATTCACACAAATTAAATATCTTGTTCAACTCAAACCCTGGGCACTTAATAATTTATTTCTGTAATATGTGTTGCAGTATTTTGTGTAAGTTTAAAGAATTCTGAGTTTTAATACATTTATTATAATAAAAAATAACTAGCTTTTAGAAATGTTTCTGATTAATCAATGTGGGGCTCATATAAAGTTAAAGCAGGATAGATAGAGGAAGGGAAATTAACATAGAAGAAAAATGCCTAGTCCAGGTTTTCTTGTGGCATGATGCCAAAATCATTTCTAAAGCACTACTCCATCTTATTCCTAGTCAGTTAACGATATGCATTATATATATATCGCTAAAGTATACTGTACCATTCTGCTGTTTATTATTATGTGTTTATTTTTTCAACTTTTGTCTCTTTAAGAGCATTGATTATGTGTTATCCTTATTTTATAACGGAACACCTAACATTATGCAGAGTCACCCCCTTGTGATGGTAATGATAATGTGGATTGTATTTGTCACAGGAGTAGGTTTTTCTAGGCAAGAAAATTATTCTCATTCAGTCAGTAGTAATGATTGATGTCATGTATACTTATATATATTATTTATTCCTGTTACTGTGAATATCTCAGTTTCTCCAAAGCAATAAGGTATGTTTACCCACCAAGTTCAGTGACCTGGGGAGCAGGCAGTTCTAGGTTTTTAGGGCTGCTTGAAGATATGTTAATTAACTTCAAAGACCTACTGAAAGATTGACCCATCAAAACATTGATGAGTCTTTATTTAGCCCCTAAGGAGTTCTTAATAGTTATTCTTGGATTGACTGGGAAGAGGCCTTTCTTCCTCCATCACTAAATACTGAAAATCATGAGAGGTGGTTTCTAGGGAATTTTATATCAAGAGAGACTGGTCTGTATTTGATTTTTTTTTTTTAGGCAGTTGGGATTAAGTGACTTGCCTAGGGTCACACAGCTAGTTAAGTGTCAAGTGTTTGGTCTGAGGCTGGATTTGAACTCGGGTCCTCCTGAATCCAGGGCCGGTGCTCTATCCACTGCGCCACCTAGCTGCTCCCCTAAGTCACTTTAAAAAAATCAGGGACAGCTAGGTGGCGTTGCCCTGAAGTCAGGAAGTCAGGAGGACCCGAGGTCAAATCCAGCCTCCGACCAAACACTTGACACTTAACTAGCTGTGTGACCCTAGGCAAGTCACTTAATCCCAACTGCCTAAAAAAAAAAAAACAACCCACAAACAAAAAAAAGTGACTTAGGAATTTGCCTAAATTTAGAGGGAAAGGACCTTGGATAAGATAAACATGCCTGCTAAGTGGGTAAGCTGTCCTGAAAGATGTGGGTTAGAAATCTTTAATTTTTGCCTTCTCTGGGATCAGTATTGCTATGGATTTGACTCCATCTTTTATTTTGACTTTGTGAATCTGTTTTGAATGTGTTTCTTTTTTTTTTTAATTTTTAATTTTAATTTTAATTTTTTTTTGGTGAGGCAGTGGGGGTTAAGTGACTTGCCCAGGGTCACACAGCTAGTACGTGTCAAGTGTCTGAGGACAGATTTGAACTCAGGTCCTCCTGATTCCAAGGCCAGAGCTTTAGCCACTGTACCACCTAGCTGCCCCCTGAATGTGTTTCTTATAAACTTAATATTGGAATCTGCTTCCTAATCCATTTTGCTACCCTTTTCTATTTTTACACTCAAAATTATCACCATTAATTGTCTATTTCTATCTATCCTATTCTTTTATACTTGTTTCTCTCTTTGACACCTTTCCTTCTCTTTATAAAGAAAAAAGAGGTGTTCAGAGAGATATGCTTAACATTAGTGATCTATTTTTGGTGCAGTACACTTTCATTCCACTACTCTTCTTCTTTTCCCCTTGCTCAGTCCCTGAACATGTGTTCTTATCTTTTCTTTCTTTTCTTTTAGACCACTCTAGGAAGATGGAATTGGTGTTATTTATGATTAATACCTCCCTGAATCCATAATCCTTCTTAATTCCCCTTTCCACTGTCTCCTAGTACCTGCCTGATTACCTGTTGAGTTTAATGTGGTTCTATACCACACTATATGTATGTATTCAGCTCTCCTTTGTTGAGTTCAGATGGAAGTGAGATTTGTATTTAGTCTGTTCTCCCCATACTTTCCTCCTTGTTTCTATAGTCTTCTACAGAAGCACCCTGCTTATGGGAGATAAGTTCCATCCTTCTTTTCCTTCCCCAATGCATTCTTTTTTCCTTCCCTTTTCTTTTTTCTCTGAAGATCATAAAAACATAACAAAATTGGTCCCAGACAGTTTTAAGTTCCATTAATCACTATCAAAGACATTAGTGTTCTAATAGAACCCTTCTTCCTTTGCCCACTTCAGAGTATAAACATTTTGTCATTATAAAAACCCTTCTGATTGTTCAAATATTTTTACCTTTCTATGTTTGTTTCAACTTCTTTGCTTGCCTTTCAAAGTATCTACCCAGCTCTGGTCTTTTCATTAGGAATACTTGGAAACCCTCTATTTCATCAAAGGTCCATTTGTCCATTTCCCATGTGCTGTCCTTCTCCACCTGCCAGTTATATTCAGCTTTGCCAGGTAAGTTATTCTTGGTAGTAAGCCTTTATCATTTGTACTGTGGAATATCATTTCCCAAGCTTTTCTCTCCTTTATAGCTGTAGCTACCAGGTCTTACATGGTCCTGACTGTGGCTTTCTTCTTGAGTGCTTGAACACTTTCATTCTGGATTCTTTCTGTTTTTTTATTTGACCTGGAAGCTCTGGATTTTGGCTGTGACGTTAGTGGGAGCTTTCCTTTTGAGGTTTCTTTCAGAAAGTGACTAGTAGATTCTTTTTTCACTTAGCACTTTGGTTGTAATAGGCCTGGGAAGTTTTCATTTATGATTTTTTAAAATACGGTATCTAGACTTTTTTATGGGTGAAGTGTTTTAATAGTCTGATGCTTCTCAGATTATCTTTCCTTGACTTGTTTTCCAGTCACTTGTTTTTAATATGGAGATTCTTTATATTTCTTATATTTTTTCAATCTTTTGATTTTGTTCTAATATTTTTTGTCTCAATCCAATTTTCAAAGAATTTGCTACTTGAGTAAGGTTTTGCACTTCCTGTGCTAAGATGTTTATTTGCCCTCCAATTCTTTACAGCTCTCATTTTGTTTCCCATTCTTCCTTCTATAGCTATTTCCTTTTTGATTCTTTTCTCTAGGGCTCTCATTTAATTTATATGGTCATTTGAAAACTCTTCCATTCTTCCAGGAATTCCAGTAGTGCTTTATGGCAAATCTGTGGTTGTCTTTGGGGCTTTGCTTATAGATCATGTATTGTTATTCTGTTTCTGAATTTTCATTGTAAGCTTCCCTGGCTCCATAATATGTTTTAGTTATTGCTATTTTCTTCTGTTTGCTCATTTTTCCAGCCTATCTTCCTGAATTGGGACTTGGTGTTGGGGTCAGGCTATATGCACTTCTGGTAGTAAGGGTGGGCCTTCTTTGGTACTAATCTGTCTTAGCTGGAGCCTGGCTAATGAGTGCAGTGTTCTTCAGGAACCTCAGGAGCTTCTGACTAGCTTGCTATGTGAAGAGGTATACACAGTATGACTGTCAAGTCTGTGCAGTGTACTCAAGGATAATTTGATCCTAGGTGCATGCTGATCTTTGCTCTCCTTATCTGTGTCCAGCAGGCTTCTTGGCCCTGATTGTGGGTCAGAAAAACATAGCTGAAAGCTCTAAGAATCCTTGTCAAGACCCTAGTCTGTGTGCCCTTCTCCCTGTTCCTGGGATACAGCTTCAGACTTTAGGCTTCCTCAATTCAAAGCTGGAAGGCCTTTCCCTTTTGGACCCCTTCTTTAGTGCAGGCAGTCAGGCTTCTGGCTGTGTTTGTATATATCTTGGCTAGCAAAATGCAGTTGACTGCAGTTTTCTCCTGCAGTTAACTCCTCTTTCTTGATCATTGTGTCATCCTGGCCTCTAGTTTTTATATTCTTGCTGGAGTAGTTGTTTCAGAACTGGGCTGTTCTTCTTCCAGTCATACCCCCATCTTGAAGAGAATCCTAGAAATTTTTTAATAGATGAAAATGGCAAGCTGTGATATTTGATTAGGATGATGGAATAGTGGGGGAAGAGGAAATGGTAGGTTATACTTCTCATTGTTTTGTAATGGAAGAATGAAAGATTAGTGAGCCAATCTAGTGAGTATTTATTGAGTGTCTACTATGTGCTATGTACTAAAGATTATTTAAAGTCTGGGTAATAGTTACACTTTTGCTAACTACCTCTTTTACTCAAAGGAATTTCATTGTAGGCAAGAAATAGGCAAGAGAAAAAAATTATTTGTATCAATTTGCTTGGGATGAAGGAAAGGTTAAAAAAAGTTGAGATTGTCATGTTTCATTTATTATGCTGTAAGAAGCATCTCAATGCAGTTAAGTTCAATATTTTGGCAGGAGAGAGAAAAGAAAGGAATACATCCTATAGTTATTTAATTTTAGAAAAGAGCCCTATAAAAATAACATGATTTTGATCTGAAAAGGAATATATATAACATATAAAATATATAACATATATGTATATAAACATATATAATATATAAAGTCTTTAATTTTTTGAATTATTTATTTAATATTCCCCCTAGTTACATGTAAAATTATTTTTGAACATTTGTT